CTGATTACAATATTCAGAAGGAGTCGACATTGCATTTGGTCCTACGTTTGCGCGGTGGTATTTAAATCTTTGTGGAGTCAGACGGGGCAAAGACTCATAATTCCGATGAGCATTAATCTGAAGTTTGATGATTTGTCGTAAGGTCTAGATTAGTTGTTTATTTCATATTAAACTTTAGTATTCAAACATAATGTCAAACAATAAAGACATATACTATTGAAATTTGCGGAATTTCTTTTGGACACCGCTCAGATGCTACAAACAAGTAAGTAACTGTCGGCGCTTAAGAGAAGTACTTATCGAAGGTGTTGGTATATCGTTTCGGGCGAATTATCCCTTTACATTTAAGATTGTAGCAGATTTTACAAAGTTGTCCATTGTGAAAAGATTCACATGGGTGTCGAACATTGTGGGTATGGGGTTGAAGTTATGCTTTCTAGTGTCTGGACGAGACTTCTTTCAACTGCGTCTTGTTTTGCGCAAAATTTGCTTCCTTCGGAAAAGTGTATAAAAAAAGTAAAAGTATCTTAGCCAGTTAAGTGTGTATGTTGGACATTAAGTCATTCATCCGATTACTTCACAAAATTTTCATCATCAGTTTATGTTTGCCATTATAATATATTTTAGAATGTTTGTATGCACATACTATATGCAATGTGAAAAGTATACTCGTCATTGCTAGATTTTTGCGATGCAATTCAAATGCACTCCAAAGAGGACGACATAGTTAACAGGTTAAGAGCTGAGAATACGAAGCCCGTAACATTTAAAAAACTAAAATTTTCGTAGTCGATTTTAAGAAACTAAAGCAATGTTCGACCTATCATAGTGGTGAGGATCATCAATTAAAACTGCTAAAAAGAGATTAGTTTAGTGATAAGGATTGCGCAATTGTCCATGTGGCACAGGTTGTCTCACTTTAGGGGGCGAACTTAATAGAATGATTCTTTCAAGCATTCTATGGGCATAAGGCTCGAATGAGAGAACTCTAAATAACATTGTTAACAACTCCTTCGTGACCCGCTTTTGTTTAATTCAAGCATCAAACAACTGCAAAAAAGTCTATTCTTTTTTACAAATATATTTATTTTTACACAAAACTAACAAACTATATTACGTTCCCATTATGGTTTCATCGGTTCTTTTCCTTGTCTTGAAAGTGGATGTACCTTTTCAGTTGATAGACTGGTTCACCGTTTTTTAGGTCGATTGACTTATCTTTTATTAGAAAGAATAAGGAGATTCAAATAAACGGGAACATTATTATTCGGCTGTGACCCAATCCGCTATATCTACCGATCGCTTTTATCTTGAAACAAAAATCGAAAAAGATTAAACGCTTATATACTCCATGGTCTTCATCTCTGTGCATGGCCAATTTCTGTCATCTTTGTACAGGTATTGTAGGATCACCAATTGTATACACCTATAAATATATAGGCGCAAAGTTTTGTCATTGAATCTGTTGCACTTTGTAAGCAAAGAGAATAATGGCAATTATTTCTATTTTGCGTTCAAAAGCGGACGTGTTGTCTACTCGTGTCATATTGTGAAAGCTTTCTTAACCCACATGGCTTATTTTTCATACCTAAGTGCAAGAACTTCCGATGCGTTTTCTAATTTTGAAGCCGATATCTTAAAATTTACTATAAAGAGAATGATTACCACAGATGTTAAGCGGACTAATTGTCTGCTTAAACCTATTTGGGAGTTCATGCTGATACTTTTTGTCTTTCCGGTTATTGGATACGTTTTGACACAATAAATCCACAAAATAAATCGTGCTTAGATGGTTGAGAGAGCAAAATTTCGCATGCAGTGACAATGCACGTTAACGTTTAGAAGATTCTAAAGCGCTTCAAACTTAATTAGGTAAAAGGACGAAAATATCGATGCAAAAGGCTTCGGTTATAATAGCAAGGTT